TAACTGATCTGAGTATATATATATATATATATATTAAATCATAATTATAAAAAAAATTTGGTCAAAACTAAATAAGTATGCATACATGGATAGGTTTGTTAACGCTATTTAAGGCTACATTTGAGGGAGCTTTAAAATCCTGCGAAACTCCTTGAATCGCGACGTTGCGGACTGGAGGGAGGGATCTGCTTCTTACAGGGGCGAAAAAATATCGTTTTAGCGGACGAGTGTCAGCCGCGAAATATTATTTTACCAAACATCATATTGCACTTTATTGGCATTTCCTCGAACGCGATGTAAGTGAAACGCCTTTCACCTCCCGAAAGAGCCCTTAGGGGTGGTGGGCAGCCTAGGACTTAAATACTGCTTTTTGGTCCTACACCAATCCGATGTGGGACTATTTGTCCGTTACATTTTCCTCCACCCAATCACGTGACACTCTCATCACGGATAGACTCCACCGAGGGTCCCACTGGACCATGGAGAGTCCACACAACTGACAGACAATAATCTGCTCTGATACCACTTGTCACCTCCCAAAAGAGCCCTTAAAGGTGGTAGACAGTCCATGACTTAAATACTGCTTTTCGGCCCTACACCTAGCCGATATGAGACTATTTGTCCGTGACACGCCACTCAAATAAAACCTCAATTTGTTGCAACACGCGCACACGCGCACACACACACACACGCACACACACGCACACACACGCGCACACACACATATATATTCAAATTTCCGATGCCTCATTACAAACAACGTAGGAAGTTGTAGCGTCTTGTCTTCACGCCAATAACAGACTGTACATTATAGTTAAAAAGTATATATATGAAAAATAGGGGCATTAATATATATTTCACACAATTGCTGTGTATTTACATATCTAACATCTAAACTTTCCTTCTTACATTTATGAAACCCAAATATTTCGTAGAAACAAAAATATCATAGTTTTAATTTTTATGAAATATATCTTTTTATACAGGGGTAAAATGATATGTGAGTAAATATTGAAGATTAAGTGTCAAATAAAGAATTTATAGAAATTGAATGATATGTGTAAATTTTCCTCAAACATGTTAGTATTATTGTGTATCGAAAGATTGAAAAAGATTTATGTTTTTTTAATATTGAATGATAATTTCATATTGTTGAGCCCAAAAATGTTCAAAATCCCGCCCAAGGAATAGAGCACAGATAATATGATGATGAATGAATGGTAAAAATGAGTCGCTCCTCCCTTTTTCCTTCATAATGAGTCTCCTATTTATAGGTAAAGGAGATACATTAAGTACATAATTACATTTATGCCCCCACTTTGCAAAGGAATTTAGGGATAATAAAATCAATTATATGATATATCAAAATATGTTAAATAAGTATCTGCTAACAAAGGAGACCCTTTGCTCTTCGTCTTACCCTTATTCGTTTGTCTCTGACGGGCCGAATTATTAGAGGGTAATATGAGGGCTTCTCGGTTGACCTTTTCTATGACTTCCTCAAAACTCTAGTTCGCCTTTCTTGTTCGCTCGGTGATAGATAGTCCTTCGTTTGGCTGATCCTGCAGATATTTTTTGTTTGGTTTCGATGTCAGATAGTTCGCTATTAGGTTAGACAACTCAATGAGATTTTGTGCTGATCTTCTGACCCGTATATCAATTTTCTGAATAACCCGATATAGTTTCGTTAACTGGCCTTGACTCATTTTAGTTGGGAACTCACCTCGCTTGACGTGTTGTTTACCACTGCATCGAGATTCATGTTGCCCGAATCCGTCCATACGCATAAATACAAGTAATTTAAAGCTTTTTTATATGTGATATGAGATATTTGAATGAAAAATGGAAAAAAAATTAAATAATAAAATTTAACTCAATTAAGCTTATTATATCATAATAAGCCAATATCATACTTAAATATTCTTTAATGCATTAATATATATTAAAAAATCTTTTCTATGGTGGTAGCAAGTAGAGTTTTAAAATGTCAAACTTGTAAAATGGTGCTGGCAACCATTTTAGTTGTAGGGAAGATTAGGCAATTAGAAAGAAAGGTGTCATACATCTGATTCTTGGCACATAGTTAGTAGGCGTTAGATGATACTTCATAGAGAAGGTCAAATATGAGTCATTGGTCAATAAAATCTTTGGATGTTGAGTGATGATTTATTGAGATTGTTAGAAGCCAAACCATGATTGATGATTTATTAAATTATTCTTCTTATGAATGAAAAGATTTATGATAAAACAATAGACATTGAATATCATTGACTAACATAAATCAAATATTTACAAGGTTTGGATGATGATCGGCAAGGAATTGGATACTAAATAAAAGTTAGTGATCGATTTGGTTATTCTTTGGAAGATTAATGACCAAAATGAAGTCTGGTAGGCTTTGTCCATTAATGAATGTAAGACAATATTAAAACTAAAATGGGGCAAGTACATACAGACCACGCTAAACTTGTCATTTTTATCAAACTCTCGACAGTTTGATTGTGGCACTCTCAGTTACATTGCTTTGGTAGTTCAAAAAAAAATCACATGGATGATTAATTTGTAAATATCAATATCTGAGGTGGTCTATAAGTAATTATCCCTAAATTAAAGGAGGATTGGTGGGAGTGTAAAACATCAGATGATGATTTTGTTAAGCTTGTAGCAAGTCATTGCATTTATAAAATTATTATATACGAAAGTTATTTGAAAAATTAAATAAAATCAAGATGTTTTATCCAAAATTTATTAAAATTATAATGAGTGTAATAAATGTTGTTTAATAACACTATATATTGTATTAATGTGAAGTATAATGATAGAATTTAATTTAAAATATTATTTGCCAAAGTTTTCTTATTATGCAGTCCAATTAGACCTATTGGTTAAGATCTTAATTTATTAATTAAGTGTTTTTTAACTTTGATGGCATATTTGTATGTAAGTTTATGTTTAAATATTTTTTAATTTTTTTAAATATGTATTTATTTATATTCCCCCTCTGGCGACATGAGCTTTAAGGAATTTGGTACTTGAATTGTTAGAGACATTTGGATTCGTTGAAGGCTCATATAATAGCCCCTAGCCATTCTTTTTTTTTTTAAAAGGTTATTCTTTGTATCACATACATTTTATGGGCTTTTAACGCAAAAGGTTTTGGAAGCCACTGATGTTATTGATTAAGCATGATTCTCAATGCATATCACTAAGGATATATTTTGGAGTGATGTTAAGGATTAACTTAAATTTATAGTCAAATTGAATGTTTTAAAAGAATGAACCCAACAACATAGAATGTAAACCGATCTGGACCCAAATAAGTCCAAACTAATTATATAAAGCATGATTAAAAATTTTGGAATATTAATTGAAGGACCAAATGATCTCCAAATTTTACATTCAATCTAAGTTAGTGTCGCAATTGAGAAATGGAATGAGCCAAAGATTACATAAGTTTGGGTCATTATGTCACTTAAATGCTAATACAACTATCTAATAATAAGGGAATCGATGAGTTATCAAATAAAGTGCTTGGAATATAAACAAAATTTGTCAAAATATCACTCTAAAAAATTATAAATTAAACCCAATTCTCAACATAAAGAAGAGATCTTACCAAGTTCAAAGAAATCTTGGAGATTGAAGAACTCTATTTAATGTCCAATGTTAGACAATCAACAACGCCACCGTTAGCTCACTGCCATCATTTCACAATCATCACTTCATTGACATCTTCTAATCACCATTGCTTGATTAATTGATGTTGTTCTTTATATTGTTGTTATCTAACTGGCTGTCATCTTCTAGACATAATTGTTCAATTATCGACATCCGATTATTTTTGACTAACCAATCACATTCACCACATCATTAAAGACCAAGTTATTATGGAGTGTATCACTTTGTAGTTGATCACATTATCCTACATGATCCACTACTCATGCAACCCACAACTTTCACCTCTGTGGCTTACAAACATTTTCACAACTCATGCAGTTCCAAACTCTGGCCTTTGTCGCCTACGAACGTTATCACAACTCATGTAGCTCCAAACTCCATCCTTTATGGCCTACAGACTTTATCATTGTACATGTAGTTTCCACCTTCAATCTCTGCGAACAACGAATGTTATCATAGCTTATACAACTCTCAACTCTAGCCTCTACGACTAACAAACGCTATTCCAGCTGTCTGATATGGTCTATTGGACGAACAACGACTTACACGGCTCATAGCTTTCCGAGCTCCCAACTTTGGTCTCTACTGCTTATGGAAGTTATCACAACTCATATAGCTCTCAAATCCTGTAGTTGTAGCCTATGAACATTATTCCAGCTCCCTGTTATGGCCAATGTGACTAACTATGACCCACTTGGCTCACAAATCACAAATCTTCCAAATACGTCCTTTATGCATGAAAGACTTTATTAAAACTCCCTAC